AGCACTATCTTATAACTAAATACTATCTTACCTTGAAAACTTAAGATATAAGAAGAGCTACATAGAATTCCAACCCATAAACTTTGTTGAAAATTTTCCTAAACAGGAATCTCTAACAGAGTAACAGTTCCCGTATACTTGACTCCCTGGATCATTTTTAGATTGTTGGTAACCAGGGGGTAGAAAATACACCCTTGTATTACCACCTTATTTTCCATTTCCTCCTAGTGAATCCAAATAGTTCATTAGCTGAATGAGCCAGGAAGAAAAGGCAGTAGATTCCCCACCCATTTGCAAAACAATAATTGAACCTTTCCCAATGGTCCCAGAGCTAACAAACTATTATCAACTAAATTTAAATTTTAAAGCCTAGAAGTTACAATATAAGCTTTGTAAAGCTAGTAGGTATATAACACAAATTAACTTTCTGAACTATAAATAACAGTGAATTTTTAGTTAGGCATATGAGAAGGAGAATATTAGAATGATAACTGTGCCTTCTGGGTAGCAGAGACATCAAAATTTTATTAAGTAAATTAATTTGGAGACTGAGGATATTTGAAGTTATCTATACTAGAAATACAGTATCCCAAAGATTAGGGAAGAAATTAACTCAAATATCATTAACCTTCCTGAGCAGGATGCTTGAATACAGAGGCAGCAACTTAATCTTTGATGTCAAACAAACTGGTCTAAATCCAAGTTCCACTTTTTTTTCTTGGAGCAAGTTATCTCTTGGAGCTTCAGTTTCTACATCCATAAAATGGGGATAACGGCCTAGAAGGATTATGGTACCTGGCAAAGAGAAGGCCAATAATCCCCCCTACTCCATAAAAGAAAAAGATAATGTACTTTAGCGTTGTTCTGAAACAGTTTCTCCTCAAGAAATGTGTATTTCTTCTTGAATAGGGAATTTATGTATGGCATGACCTAAGTTTCTCTTTTTCTTTTGAACAAACATACACAAATAAGCATATACCTTATTTCAATTATGTTAAAACTTAAGAGTGGTTCTACCCTAATAAAATGGGGAAAATTGTCATAAGGATGTGTTTATGAGATATTGAAACAATGTAACATATTCATTATTTTAAAAGTGACCACACAAATAACCACTGGGAAATCAGTGGAGACAGAGTAGCTCAATAAAGAAGAAAACAATGTCCGAAGGGGTCTAGCTCAGTGACAGCCAAAGGTACAGAGCCCACTAGAGTGTAGACACAAAAAAAATAGAACTCCAATTTCCACTGTTACCTCATTCGTTAAATTTTTTACATGTTTTTATAGTATATATCAGATACATATCATTCATACATAAATATACAAACTTTGGAAGTACAAGATTAATTTTTTTGACAGGATGTACAATCAAAAAAAGCTGGAGACAACTCTTCCAGGCTATGAGGCAAGAGAACAACATACATATAAAGTCACTATTGAAAATAGATGAAGACCCATGTTAAGCTTAAACAGTAACATACACCCCCTATGTTACAAATTTCTAAGACAACTGAATATATGACATTCAATATTTACTTATAATGTAGTTAAGAATGGGTATAGAGTTTATTTTAACTCACTTTTTAACCTAACTGGACATCAATGGCTGTACATTAAACCTCATATTAACCACTGCGAATGTGTCTTGTGGGTACCATGTTCAACAAAAGTTTAAGTTTTAAGTCTGTTGTCAGGTTTTTTTTTTTTAAGTTTACTTCATTTATTTTTGAGACACAGACACGCATGCGCGCGCGCGCGCGCGCGCACACACACACACACACACACACACGAACGGGGGGAGGGGCAGAAAGAAACGGAGAGAGAGAAGGCCAAGCAGGCTCTGCACTGTCAGCATGGAGCCTGATGTGGGGCTTGATCCCACAAACTGCGTGAGATCATGACCTGAGCCTAAATCAAGAGTCAGACACTTAACTGACTGAGCCACCCAGGCTCCCCAAGTCTATTGTCAGGTTTAATCTCTAGCCCATATTCTAAAACTTCAGTGCTTATCAAAAAGCCCCTTTATTTAGCTCATGGCTTTATTTTACAGTATTGTTGGTTTCAATATGAGATGCAAATCTTAAAAAAATGGGGCCAATTTAACATTTGCAAATATGGGAGTGCAAATATGAGGTCAACACTGACAACTTTCATCACTATCAAAAGCAGTGGGTTTTTTTTTTTTTTTTAAAGATACTGGAACCAGAGGCCATCTACATGAGTTCTAGTCTATATGACTCAGAATTCCATTTGTCCTACCCTTTGCTTCAGAGCTGAAGTCAGAAATGTCTCCATCTGTGTCATATTTATTTCCAAAACCAATTAAGAGATGACAAACAGAAAATTACGACTTTAGGTAATGAATAAAATGGCAGGAATGGATAATCCTTAAGAATGAAAGTTTAGTTCATCCAAAGCAGACAAGTAAATTAAGTGATTTGCCCCATTTATTCGCTTGGAGAAAAGAGAAATTACCACCCTATAGAAGGATGCAAACATTAGAAGTTGCCTTGTTCCTGGTGGGAGTGGGAACACACTTTACAGGTTTTGTTATGGTGCTGGCTGCCAGGTGGAGATGGGGAAGGGGTCAATGATCCACTAGGTGCATGGTTCAGAACAGGAAAAGGGGGACAAGACTTTCTGCTCTTAAGATAAGATAGTGGATGATGACATCCTTTTAACAGGACTGTCAGCTCTGGGAAATATTAAGTGCAAGAGAATAGTCAGCAATTTGTCTCCATGTCCTAAGACATAAATAGAACCACATTTCCTTATTAACCAATGAGCACAGCCCAGAAAAACTAAAGATTTTCTCTCATTTGCTGTAATTCAGGAGATGGTACAAAATAAAAACTCAGAATGAATTCAGTTTACTTTTAAATAATGGATTTGTATAAAGACAACAGTCTGTGCAATTAGGGATCATTTTTTCGTGCTTTAAATATAGAAAAGGACAAAAGTTTGTATTTAACTAAATATACAAAAGATATCATTATCTTGTCCTTAGTCAAACTGGCAAATAATGTAAATGTTCTTTTCTTTTGTTATCCTAAACTGTAAGCATACTGAAGCAACTTGTGCTCAGGCAGTGCAATCCTAGTATAGCATTTAGTTTTTTGTACTTTGGTCTGAATAGACACCTTCCCAGCCTCTTTTCGCCACACTCCTTTTAAGACCCCAAGTATCAAAAACAAAAACAAAACTCCCAAAACTTTCTAATCATACTTAGAGATCATTCCTCCACACCTTTCCTCACATTGTTCCTCAGTCCTTCTCCTTCTTCATCTCCATTTAAGTCCTATCCATTCTCCAAGTCCCTACAGGGTTGATGTTCTCACAAGCCATGTCTGTTTGTCACACACTCACTACAGTGAGTGCCATTAAACGACATGTTAGTTTAGTGCCATTCCACTGTTTATTAGACTCCTAGTTTAAGGGCAGCAAGTTTGTCTGAATCAACCTCACATTCCCAACTGCCATAAACCCTCACCTGGCAAAACAGAAGCTTGAACACAGCAATTCCTTGATGTACTTAATTGAATGGCCAACTCATTTTGGATTTATAAATTGAGATGTTACAGTTTTATTCTATATAAGGTGAAACAGCGCTCTCCTAGATTAGTATCTTAAGTATGGCAAAACAAAGAACAAAAAAGCCCCCAAGCCCATCCAAACAAGACAAAACAAAACAAAAACAAGGCATCTGAATCTTATTTACCAAACTATAGGAATAAATTCTCAATTGAATGGTACCAGCTTCGAACAGTGCCTTTAAAGTACTAGTCATCAGGCAGTCTGAAATAAGCTATCTCCTTTATCCAGATTTCAGACGGGTTTTTCTTATTAAAATCCGAGAGGTAAGAAATGAGCCAACTCTGACATTTGAAACCACCATTTCCACAGACCTCTTATTTATGTGTACTTTAGACCACTTGGGAAAGATGAGATCATTTAAGCAGCAGCGCCATTATTTCTCTTTATTTGACCCCAACAATGCTCTCAACCTAACAGTAAAGAGACATCAACCAGGCTAAGCTATATTGAAATAAGGCAGCTGGGGTAGTATTTACTCCTTTAGTATTGGGGGGGAGGGGCTGGGGGGAAGCTATACTAAAGAGCAGAGGACCTTCCCTAAAAATGTCGGTTACAGAGGTACTCTGGGCATCCCCTTCCCCCACCTTCACAAATCTACTCCTGGAATCTGAGACATAGGTCCTTTGTCTGAACAATGTGGGAGGAGTCTGTCTGCAGTGCTGGTGTGCTGGCAAGTGAAGAGAATTTACTGAAAACTGTATAATCGCATAGAGTTCCTTAACTCAATTACCTTACTGTCCATTTTCTCTTCATCGTGTCCACTAGAGTAGTTCTAAAAGACAGCCAATGTGGCATTTCGAGAGTTAAAACGTATCAAAGGGAATACAAAAAGATCAACAGAGTTAGGCTGCTCTTCAAAAGCTAAGTTTCTGAATAGCGGAGGGGTGGAGGGGGGTGATGGCATTACCCACCACTTGAACATCCCCTTCCCTCTCGACTGAGCTCTTGTACAAAGCCTCCATTCCTGTCAATTTCTTCGTCTGAACAAGCTGCTCCCTAAGGTGAGCTGGGTACTGTCGGCTGCGCAAACTTGCAATCTCGCAGCTTTCCGTGCACAACACCGAATCCACCACCGACCCGACCTTTTACCACCTCACTGAGGTTTTTGGTGCCACGCCAGCCTGGTGTTCCACGAATACAGCCCGAGTTAAGTGAACACCACCGGATTGGGTGCCTCGAGAAACTTAACACCTTTCACCATGCAAAACGAGCGGAATGCCGTGGGTTTTCGCAAGGTGACCCACCTTCTCATCTTATCTTCCCACGGTTCCTCGCAGACCCCTTCGCGATGGATTTGGGGGACTCGCCGGGTTCAATGTTGCAGCCGGGAGCTCGCCTCTTTCGGCTCCCCCACCCACGCCCGGGGCCATGCCCAGCTGGACTCCCCTCCTCCCCGCCGCACTCACCCTGGCGACCGACAATCTCGGCGACATGCTCGGAGCTGGGCACCGGGACGCACTCGGTGGTGTTGACGCTCTTCCTCCGGAGCAGGGCCGCCTGCTCCCCGTTTAGGGCGGCCGCCGCCGCCGCCCCGCAGCCGCCGGGGCCGTAGGCGTGGGACAGCATCGCCGCCATCATGCCCTGGGCATCGTCCCCTCCGTAGAGCACCCCCGCCGCCG